GCTGCTAAAAGTCCAGTTGGCTGCAGCGACTAGCTCCATGTGGCTCCCGGAAGCAGCTGGCATGTCCTCCCAGCTCCTAGGTGTAACTATTGCCATAGGAACTCTGCATGCTCTCCCTGCCTGTAGTTTTGGCGCTGCCCCAACCACTGGCCTCATAGCTCTTACTGGGCAGGAATTATGACAAATGGAAGCTGCAGGAGTGGTGCCTGCAGACGGGGGCAGCTCACAGACCCATCTGGACACTCCTGTGCGTAAGGGTGTGTCTAGACTACTGAGTTTTGTCGACAAAAGTGGACTTTTGTTGACAAAACTATACCTGCGTCTACACTACTGCTGAGTTCTGTCGAGATAACGTCGACAGAACTTAGCAGTTTTGTCGATGCTGGTAAACCTCATTTTACGAGGCATAACACCTTCTGTCGACAGAGTTCTGTCGACAGAAGGTGTTATTGCCTGTAGGGTTGCGTCGAGACTACTGGGTTCTGTTGACAAAGCAGCTTGCTTTGTTGACAGAACTGAATATGTCTAGACGCTCTATGTCGACAGAAGTTTTGTCGACAGTATCTGTCGACAAAACTTCCGTCGACAAAACCCTGTAGTCTAGACGTACCGTAAGAGTCAGAGGAACATGTCACCACTTCCTGGGAGCCACCTGAAGTAAGCATCACTTGGAGCCTTCACCCTAATGCCCTGGGCCAGCCCCGAGTCCCCTACTGTAACCCAAGCCCCAGCCCTATGCCCCCTCCTGCACCTAAACTCCATCCTGGAGTCTGCACCCCTTCCCATGCTTTTGCCTCTGCCCTGAGCTTCCTTCTGCATTCTGAACACCTTTGCCCTAGACTGGAGACCCTTCTTGTATCTTAACCCTTCATGCCCCTCTCCATTCCAGAGCCTGCACACCCACCAGCCGGTGACCTCACCCCTGCATCCAAGCTCCTGCCCCAGCCTGGAGCCCCCTCCTGCACTCTGAACCCCTAATTTCTGGCCTCACCTTGGAGCCTACACTCTCAGCCTAGGCTCTAGCACTCTAACCCTCTGCCCAGTCTGCTGAAAGTGAGCAAGGGTAGGAGGAGTGAGTGATGAAGGGAAGGAGGATGGAGTGAGTAGGGATGGGTCCTTAGAGAAGGGAAGAGTAAGGGTGTTCTTTTTTTGTAGTCAGAAAATTAGCAGCCTTAAGCTGAACCCATGGCAATGTTTAAGAGGGAAAAAGGATAATGCAGACAGCCCCTAAATTAAAATATTCTGGTGGGTTTTTAACTTATAAATTAGTCTACTCCGTGGGACAGAGCAAGGTCCTTTCCACACAACAACTTTTATATAAGTTTTTATAGTTACTGGCACGGTTGGCTCTAAATCTGTGGTGTATCTGCATCCTCAGGTTTGTAACTGTAGTCAGCCAGAATAGGAGCATGCCATTGTCCTTGCCTAACTGGTTCCAAGCTCCCCTCCCCCCAATTTCAGTATGGATAGGATTCCCTAATCATGGCCGTGTGACATGGTTGGCTTGCCCTGTTCAACCTATTTGTGCTATAGAACATCCTAGAGTGCCATGCATACTGCATGTCCTAGATATACTCTTTCTCTGATGTACAATGGGATAACTTCCCAAAATGCACAAATACAGATACAATTACTGGCCAGATCCCTAACATTAATGGTGCTTGCTCAGGTGCAAAGATCTGTCCAAACAGCACTTGCTGCAAGATTGGGGCTGTGATTAGGCAGCATGGTATGTGAAAACACATAAATGTGGCTTTGATATCAGAAAAGCTGCTGAATAGACAGAAACTGAGCTCTGATCAAATGACTGGTGGATCTGATTTTGTTACAAATTCTCTGTTAAAAGATAGCATCAACAAAACCATAAACCCTTTCCTTTCAAACATAATGGTAACTGCTGTAGTATTTTACAAGTCCTATTATACTTTGTGCACACTTTTGCTGTGATCACTTACTGTTGGAATCACATAATCTCTGCTTCTGATCCTTTCATAAATATGGTAATTTCAGTGAGATGCAGAGTATACGTATACAGGCAGTCCCCGAGTTACGTACAAGATAGGGACTGTAGGTTTGTTCTTAAGTTGAATCTGTATGTAAGTCAGAACTGGCGTCCAGATTCAGCCGCTGCTGAAACTGATCAGTTTCAACA